GAGTAAGATCAGTAAAAACGATACTACAAAATTCCGTTTTTACGCGTTGCGTTTTTCGGCAGTTTTTACAGTTCACAAAGCGCTCGATACCGGTGAATAGGAAACATGATTGTAAATCGACAATTCCCTTTTTGAGGAGTATGTCAAAATCAACCTCCAACAATGCAATTTTTCTAACAGATGCGCCTTTACAATCACAAGTGCGAATTTCGCGTGCACTGTATAGTTCAAACATTTCAACGACTCGCTGAATGTTCGATGTACAATCAATAGTTGCTTTGGACATTAAAGTCCCAGTGAATGAAAAATGTGTATCCAAAAACAGTTTAATTCGATTTTCATACAGACATAGGGGTATTGCAACTACCATAAAATATATGTATTTCATCAAGTTTATCAAGCTCTTTCCAAGTTTATGCATAGTGTTGAACTTTTGTTCAAGCTCTACCATCGAAATGTACAGTAAAATAATTTACGGGCACGATGTAAGATGGCGTTTTTTCTGGTCAAAAAAGTTGCAATATCCCTTTGCATACAGAACGTCTTCATCGCCTACGGTGAATGCATTCAATATATTCATCAAATATTCGTTATAGTGCAAATTGGCAAATAGATCTGGATTTTGCATTAGAATTACACTGAGAGCATGGAATAGGCAATCAGGGGCACAAGCGTTTTTGACATAAATGTCAGTTCCATTCATGTTGAATGTTTGACAATTGTTGATGGTTTGCCTTCCTTCAACGTTTTGATTGACTGATTGAGTCACACGTGAAGTTGAATGGAAATAGCATAACAAATGAACCATTTTTTTATACTTGAATGCATTCGATAGTGAAATATTTGAGTCATTGCAATCAAATTTGTACCACTTTTCATTGGTGCGTTTGATGTGAACAGAATAATGTTTTCCCGAACCAATGACAGTGGTTTCGACTATGGCCATTAATTGATAAACCTTATCATGAAGTAATAAGGCTTGAGGGACACTTTGAAGAGACATTTTAGTGTCTGCTCCGTCGACAAAAAAGAATTTGTCCGAGCAAATTTGAGCACTTTGATTACACTCACGACAAGTGAATGGTGGTGTCATTAAACCATTCAAATCATCCAATCCAATTTTCAATACATTTGTGCCATTTTGCTTGTCGCAGTGGCACAAGTGTTCAGAGAACAAACGATTGTGCTCAAAAACTTTATCAATAGCGTGAGGAACAGTGGATTGACAATCAAGCGTTTTTAATGTTGAGACAACCGTTGTTTCAAAACCTTTCAAAAGTAACTTGTTTCTTGCTAAATAAGTCTCATGAATTGCACCTTTCTTCAAGTAAGTTTTCATGAATTGAACCAAATCAGGATCAGCACAGTCATACAACATCTCTTCGAACTCCGAGTCGTCAACTATTGCACAGGTCAAAATGTGTAGAATAATATCTGTTGATTTTGTATTGGTGACAAAGATAGAGTTCCTGGTTCTATTCAAATGACCGTTAGCTAGCCTCGCAATTTTGACCAAAGTAACATTTTCGGAAACCTGTTGAAATAAAATAATTAAAAAAACAATAGCATGGAAAAGTTTAAAAAGCAAATCTTTAATCTTACTTGTTTGTTTAAGATCGAATTAATTCGACGATGCTTCGTTGGGTTTTCTAAAGGCATTCTTTTGTTCCTCCAATTCTCATAATATTGCATCTCTGGGACGATCTCCTCATCTTTCTCTTTCTCTTTCTCTTTCTGTTTTTCCTTCTCTTTCCCTCTTTGTTCAACTTTGATTTGTGACGGCATCGGTTTGACGGCCTCACATTGACTTGGTCGGTTTGATTTGCCTGAAGTCAATGAAGTCAATCGTTCTGGTTTCTCAATTTCCTTTCGCACAGACTTTGTTTGGTCGTGTTTCTAAATTTAAAAAAAATCAATGTAATTGAATTGAACAATAAAGATAAAATATAATATAATTTTTGCTTACATATTTGAGCAAGTTTTGATTTAGCTTCACTTCAAGTCTGGTTAGCTATGCAAGCGCAGTTACTTCTTCCAGCGTTCTCTCTACAAAAACGTGGGGCGACGTTGGCAAGTCCTTAAACACATGGTTTTTTATGACGTTGAACCTTGATTCGTATCATTGCTGACGGCTAACACTTGGGTCGATTTGGAATACTTTCTCATCACGCCGCTCCATAGCGGAAGAAAGTTGAAAAGTTGCTTTAGAAAAACGTTCAAGAACGGATTGTAGTATATTCCACCATTTTTAACCGGTTTCGGTTTCGTTATTTCGATATCAATAGAGTGCAGGCATTCAACTTTGTTTACAATACTGTTGAAGAAATCAATGAGGCAAATTAAGTGACACGCACAAGAATAGCGCCATCTACAATCGTTAGAAGAAAGCTATGATGCTTACGGTCAAGCTTCAAAACATTAAGAAAACGTTCAAACGATCAAACGTTCAGACGTTCGAAACGCTTGATCCATCCGTCGAATTGAAATGTTGCAATTGCTTTTATTTCTGATTCGGTTTAATGAGTCATAAGAATATGCATTTTTCCTTGATTGAGAAAAACTCGAACTAAATTTTGTTTAACTTCGTAATAAAAAATAATACAATTCAAAAACGGTAGATACTTCAATCCCATAGCTGTCAAAGTCAGTGGTGATGGCGCGTACTTTGGAGTTTCAAATTTTCGAATTGCAGACTTTATTTTATGTATAATTATGTGTAAAGAACAACATTTTTACATTGATTTTCTGAAAATAAAAGTAAGCAAAAAATGCTATAATAAACCAATGATTATTTCAGTAATTTTGACTTTTGTTGAGTTCACATCGAACATTGACTAAAGGCTAACACCTGAATCAATGCTAGAATTTGTAGTGCTAACGCCCAAACCATAAGTATCCAATTGATAAGGTAAAAAAGGAAATTCATAAGAAATCAATGATTATTTCAGTTTATTTCTATAATTCTGATTTTTATTGGATTCACAACAATTATTGATATGCGACTAACGACTTACTCGATAAACCATATCTATGACTCATTAAACCGAAACTAAGGAAATTTATTGGAAGAATTTGTAGTGCTAACGCCTAAGACATAAATCTCCCATGGTTTTTTCGAATATGTTTTATATAAAAATATAAACCTGAGTTTTTAATGAGTTTGTTTCATAAAAATAATTTGGTCAAATAAAAATTTTCTTCAAATTAATGAGAAAAAAATGCGCAGTATGAAATATTTTGATTGAGTCGGTGCAATCATAGAGCCGCTAAACTTTGGAGGTTAGGTTGCCGTTCTTTTGCGGCATGAAAAATTCATCGTTGGTATTGTTTAGATCACGAACATTTTCATGTTTGATTACCACAAACAGCACTTACAACATATTTTGTGCATCTTTTTCACACAATTTTCATCGCATACTTGCAAAAATGATAGAATATCATAAAATTCATTTCTTCATTTGTTAAACGTCATTGAAAACCGTGGTTTACTGAGTCAGTCGGTTTATTGAGTCAGTCAGTATCACCGTAGTTTTAACAGATTAAAATCCATGTCTGGAATTATTATTATGCCACAGGATTGTTGAATTTATGCACATTTATGAAAACAATACTATATAAATATTGTTCGCGAGTGGAAACATCATTTACGTTATAACCCCGTAAATATTTCAATGTATCACTGACAGCTGTCATCGAATGTAAACATACGTGAAGTTGCTAACGTTCATTCAATAGCTTTACCCAAAGCACTAAAACTTGAACTTTTGTACACAAGTGAAGTGACTAAGTAATAATTTCAATTTTAAATTTTTCCCTACAATATTAAAATATTAATCTCACACAAATTAAAAGTTTCTACATATTGATCTATCAATTTTTATTTTTTGCACTTTTTAAGTGAATATTCGCTAATAAAAAAAGAAATATTCATTGGAACAATTCCATTACGATGTTAGATGGCGCTGTTAGTTGTGACATAAATGCTTTACGTATATCACATACAGCTAGTTTGCATCATTGAAGAAATTAAATTCAATGTCAGACTCTTCTGATTCGTCTGCTTCGTCGTCGTCATATTCTTCATCGTCATTTGCATCAGAACCGTCATCGAGCCCATCTACTTCTTCGATAACGAAACCCACTTCATGCGTTGTTACTAAATTTGAGAGCTTTTGGGAGCTTATACACGAGAGACATTTATCATGACTGTTGTCGCTTTCAGTACACGGAATATTTGCCAAAATAATGATGTGCTCAACGATATCTGAAGTCACGTCGTAGCTGTCGCATTGCATCAAAAACCCGAGAACAGACAGGTACGACTGTCGTGCCTTGGAATTCATTTTTCGTAGAAGTCGATTCTTATGCCAATTGCTAATAAGGTGGGATCCATCCAATCGAATAAATGCGCCTTTGATGTTTTTGTGTCGTTGACAAATTTTATGCGGAGCACAATCAAGGGGATTGTCATTTAAATTGCCGTTGGGCTTAACCCGAATAGAGTTTAGTTATTTTAGCTTAGGAATTTAGATTTAAGTTTTTTTTTTTTCAAATCCTCCCGATTGGTTCATTATCAATTATTGAATACATACACACAAAAGAAGAAAAGAAAAAAAAAAAAAAACAACAAAGGAAACTGAAATAAATAAAATTGGAATGAACTAAATTGAAAAAAAAAGAGATGATTCGAAAGTAAAACGTACACAATATAAACACAAAAGAAAGAGAAACTGAATTAAATTACAATTGAATTGAACAGATATTGAACATATATTGAACATTTTTGATTTACTTTTAAGATTTTTGCATGAAAAATTCAAATTACATATTTAAGATCTCAGTTACACTGATTCATCGATTTTTCGATACTTCATCACGACTATTGCATTTTGCGGAACTTCGTTACTCTTACACATTCATGATTGAATGAGCAAAGTTATCATTTTGAATTGCGAGTTTTGTTAAAAAGCAGAAATGAGTGAGAAAATAACTCTTTTGACATGGTGGAAATCGATGAAGCCGAATATGCATTGAAGAAAGGGGCTTTCGATAGAGAGTGTGATAGAGTGAGACCGCGCAAAGGAAGTAAACTCACTTCTAATGTGGATTTAAGAAAAGAGTACAGAGAATGTATCGTCAAAACGTATAATGATATATTGAGTCATTTATTCAGCTATCTTACAAATGCAAATTTAGAACAGAAACTCGATATTCAGCAAAGAGTCAAGACTCATTATGGGAAACTAGTAACTGCATTCGATATTTTGAGTTTATCGTATCCGTTTGAAAAACACATTTAAGCTCCGATTGACATAGAAAAGGTAAAAGAAAGTACACAGAGTACGTCGAATGATATTGAAGACGATTTGCAATCGAATAGTTCAGAAGAGTCCGTAGACTCTCAACCGGATAAATTAGAAAATAATTTGACTGGTAAATCAACGTCTGAAACCCAAACAAATAGCATCGATAAGAGTGCTTCGGTTAGTAATCCCGGTGAGATCGCAAATAATTCTGAAAACCATACAACGAGCGACAACGAAAACGAAAATACAATGGCGAAAACGCCAAAAGATTTTATTGCGCTGGCTAATCAAATGATAGGCTATAGATATAACGGTGATCCATTAAATCTTGATAGTTTTCTAGACGCCGTTGACTTGTTAAAAGAGCTATGCGAGAGACCGAATGTGGATATCATGCGTAAATTTGTAATGACACGTTTAGAAGGTACTGCGAGAGAGGCAATTGTGGTAGAGCCCCAAACTGTTGATGATATTATTCGACAATTGAAAGCCAATATCAAGACCGAATCGTCAAAAGTAATTGAAGGGAGAATTCTCGCGCTCAGAGCTGATAAAAGCAGTCTCACAAAATTTGCAGAGCAAGCAGAAGCTCTAGCCGAACAGTTTCGACGTAGTTTATGTGTGGAAGGCTTTTCCAAGGAAAAAGCGAAAGAAATGGCGGTGGAAAAAACAGTAGAAATGTGCCGTAGGTCGGCTAAAAACGATATTGTGAAAGCGGTTATTGCTGCATCAAAATTCACTGAGCCCAAAGAAGTTGTAGCCAAAATGATCGTTGAGATCAATAATGTTAAGCAAGACAAGCCTCACAATTCTTACACACACAAGTTTGGTCGCCCAAACCATGGCAATAATAATGGTCGAAATTTTAATAATAATGATCGCTCGAATAAATCTCAGAATAATCGACAAGGAAATGGAGGTAACTGGCGCAGCAATGGCCATAATAATGGTGGTAATGCGAACAATCGTGGTCAAAATAATAACCGATCGAATCAGCAAGGCCAAAACAATAACAGAAACGGTCAGAATTATAACAGCAATTATAATGGTAATTACCACAGAGGCAACAATTCAAATCGTGGCTCGAATCAAGCTAAAATACGTTTGATGACGGGAAACGAGAGCCCCCCGGGGAACGGCGGG